GCCATGGGTTCCAGGCCTGAATTGAATACACGGTGTATCGACGAATATATGTGGTTAACAAACGCGGAAACAAAGCCCAAAGGATCCAAAATTACGTTTAAGCAGTCCAGCATGTTTTACCGCCATGGACGATGCCCTGGAACAGTTTGTAGAACAACACAAGTCTGTACGAATGACTACTCCCAGATCCTTCTCGGGTGGAGCAGGAGGCAGAGTTTCGTGGCCGAGGATGTAGGTAAAACGACAATTGTGACGTAGTGATAAGATTTTGCATTTGGTAACGTTGAATTCCATGTCATTGGAGACAGACCATCTGTGGGTTTCGTCAAGGGCGTTCTGGAGATCAAATGAATCTTCGGGTTTTGTTATTGTCCTCCATGTTTTGGTATTGTCTGCAAACAACAGAGTTTGTGGTCCGTGGACGTCTTGAAGATCATTTATAAAAGCAAGGAAAAAACGTAGGCCTAGCACAGATTCCAGCGGAACCCCACTGTTAAAATCTGTTGGATCAGAAATCGGAAACACGAACTGACATGATACGTAGTCGAAGAAACTCCGCGATCCGGCCAAGTACGAGTCCACGGATTCCATAGTAATATAGCTTCCATGTCAGTACTTGATGATTTACCATATCAAATACCTTAGAGAAGTCCAGGAAAATAATACCTAACGGTTTGCCCTAGTCTACAGCATGGGTTCAATCGTCCCGAGGCAAAATCAAGTTATTTGCGCATAACCGATTATTTCGAAAGCCGTGCTGGGCTGGGGATAGTAAGCGATTATTCTCCAGACGATCCATTACAGAATCCGCAATAATGGATTCCATGACTTTTGACAACACTGGAAGGAGAGTGACGGGTCGGTAGTTGGATGGGCCACTACGGTAGCCCCCTTTGTAAATTTGTGAAATGACACCGTTTTTCACAACTGAAGAAGAGCAGTATCTTCAAACAGCTTTTGGTATAGTCCACTTAAAGGATCGGCTGTGTGACGTGCCAGGGTGATAAGGGCTTGTGGATGTATGTATTGTATACTGCGTGATGAGTTCTTCTTTAAAGCCAGGAGCTTTGCCTTTATCCTTTCGGGAAAAAGATAATATCTGCAAGTAATGGATAAGGAATACGTTTCAGCAAATGGTGAAGTACTACCCCCAGTATTACTGGACGTATTGATCACTTGAGCGTACTGTAGTCTAAGCTTCTCTGCAGCCTCGATTGTTGTGGTTGAAACACGTCCTGTTAACTTTAGTATCGCAACCCCATGTTTGACATCCTTTTATGATAGCTTAGGGTCTGCGATAAACTTCCTCGCCAGCGTATCATGATAAGTGTACTTGTCTTCCAGCACCAAATTGGTACAATGGTTTCCAAGGTGACTGTAAGCTTCTCAAGTGCTGGGGCACGGTCAACGTTTGGACTCCCGTAAAAGTCCCTTTGCATTATCCATTTCGTAGTATAAAAAATGGGGCAACAATGAAAACTATCGAATCTACTTTGATCGAAAATGCGTGATTCTCTGACACGATTGTTGCTTACTTTATTCACTAAACGCAGAAATTAGTCATCAACACTTAAGTGAGTAAATTTCCCAAATCCTCGCATCAATCAATTGATTTTATGCTTTCACTCTGTTAGTGGTTCACCATGAACAAGATTATTTGCAAAAATCTTTCCTCTACAATGGTCTTTGCAACTTTGTACTCTACTCTTGATTCTTTAAAGTACCTTATTGAAATAGATAAATTGATTTTGTAGCAATATTAATGGTCAACAACTTTGGTTGATTGATCAACAGAGTGAATGCCGGATGTGCCCCTTAATGTTTTTTTTAATTTGCGGTCGTTGAGAGTGGTCAGGTTATTTTGTCAGGGCAATTTTCCTGGGTTTGACCCAAATTGTGTTAAACACTTTTCTTTTATCAGGTAATGTTACTGGCCATTTTCATCTCATTCGCGTGCAAAAGAACAGATCAAGTAGACGACATTGAAATCCTCGTTGAGGAGGATGATCTGATTGAGGGCTTAGGACGTCGTTATCAACTTCAATTGGACGAAGAGTATTTGCATGACGAGTACCGTGAGTTTCCCGTCATCTCTGTGTGTGGATACGTTATTTTTACAATTCTCCCACAATTTGCTTTTCTGGGAGTTTATAGTTCTTTCATTGGAGTGTTGTGTCATGTTTAAAACCAATTGCATTCAGTATTCACTCAAAATGAGATTTAATTTACATAACGTTGTGTATATATCTATGGTTCACGATATTCAATTCTGCTCTACGTTTTCAGTTATACCCCGGCACAACTACTCAAAGTCTTCTGCCATAGTAAATAAAATAATTTGTTTTTCAGTCCCACTGCTGTAGTTACGTGGCAATGCCAGTTACGGAGGTAATGTGCTCGAGTAACTTTTAACTACATGTACATGTGTATGCTTATTTACCTGTTCCTATGGTACAAGATATATCGGCCTCACGAGCAGACATTTATTTGAATGACTCAGTGAGTACCACCCGGCCTGGTTGAATAGTGGAGTAATTAAGTGAATCAACAACTCGATTGTTTCACACCTAGTGGAATCAAACCACGTGGTTCATGTGGCCGAGGCGATTGGATCCCCTTACTTAGTTCGCAGCCGTCGATCTAAGAGGATTAGGGGTCGCATTTTGGCCACGGTGGAAGCGATAGGAATCCGCCTACACAATCTCTCCTCCCCCGCTATACTCCCGAAACAATTCGTAAGAACACTCGATTTTCCATGGCAAGCAACTCACGGTCGTCCCCCACCTACCCCTAATGACCCGAACCAATGTACATGTGTAACGAACAAAGTGTAAGTAACTTCCGTTGGCGGAACTGGAATGTTAATTATTTCTTTTCCAACTTGGCAAAGATTTCTCCCTCCTACTAAACGGTTTTATATAAATTGTTATGTTAGCCTGATTATCATGTGGAAGAATCACCGCAAACGAGCTTGTTCGCTACTCTATATTTCCTTACATAAAAATAATAATGGACAGTACCGGAGTGAAGCCCATCATTTCGAAGACAATTTGCGAAATGAGTATGGGAAACGCTCATCCACCACGACCCTTTTTGATTCTGTACTTAAAAATGAAAAATTGACAAATGGATAGGAAAATTGAGTAAGAAAGGGTATTTCACAATTTTACGATTCTTGAAAAACTGTTAGGTGTCACCAGTGTACAGGGTCGTATGGATACTTGATAAAGTTAACTCAGCGCTTGCGAGAAAATGTCAAAAGGGTGATATCCACAGCAACAGTAGTACAAAAGGGACTAGGCAGCATGGGTGGCATTTAGCTAATTGAAGAGAGGAAATCAGGAGTGAGGATCGGAAATGAAGAAAATAGCTTTACGAGGTATATAGCCCATAAATTTGAGATGGAAAGAAAGGCCTTTCCCCACGGTGGGATGTTTTGAAGTTTTGTAAAGAGTAAAGAGATGAGAAGAGATAAAAGAGCGCCTAGAACAGACCCATAAAATAAAGAGATTAGGTTGGGTTAGAAGAAAAAATTAATCAAATTAAATATGTGGGAG